ATACCTGGATGTATTTGCAGCATATACAAATATGTATGTAGAAATACCCTGTATATGCTCATGAGTGTACTCCCATACGCCACCCTACCCTGTTCAGCTTACATACCTACCTGTGTATCCACTTGTCAATTACTGTTATTACTCTTATTGCAGGATTGTATACGTGATAGTATTTACCATTGTTGCCCATTATTCTTGTGAACCTCCCAGGGCCTTCCTTTGCCTTGGTCATGTGGTGCTGACTTCCCACTTAGTGTGTATTACCTTTCCCTTCATCCAAGTTAATACATCTCTACTATCTAGTTAGTGACTTTCACTCCCTCCCTCTCCGAACCCTGGTAACCATCAAAGGATGTTTCTTTCTGTACGTAAGCCTTTTCTCTCTCTTTTTTTAAATATATATATAATAATGGTCTCCCACAATATTTGCCCTTTTGTGACTTATTTCACTCAGCATAATGTCCTCCAGGTTCATCCCTGTTGTGAGATGTTTTGCAGATTCACTGTTATTCTTTTAACACTGTGCATAATCGATTATGTGTATGTATCATAGTTTGTTACTTTTTACCATCTTTTTCTACTTTTTTGTTTGTCTATTGTCTATTTCCCACTAGAATGTGCACTCCACGAGATCAGAGAATTTTGTCTGTCTTGCTAACTTGCCTGGAACATAGCACCAAAAAACCCAAACCAAACTCACTACCATTGACTCGATTCTGACTCATAGCGACCCCTCCTTGGGTTGCCAAGGCGGTATCACTATGGAAGTAGATTGCCCAACCTTCCTTCTGAGGAGTGGCTGGTGGGTTTGAACCACCAGCCTTCTGGTTAGCAGTCAAGTGCCTTAGGCACTATGCTACCAGAGCTCCTCAGGAACATAGCACCATAAAACCCAAACCAAACTCACTACCATTGACTTGATTCCGACTCATAGCAACCCCCATTGGGTTTCCGAGGCCATATATCTTTACAGAAGTAGATCACCCCATCTTCCTTCCAGGGAGTAGCTGGTGGGTTTGAACCGCTGACCTTCCAGTTAGCAGCCAGATGCCTTATCCATTATGCCACCAGAGCTCCTGTTGGAACAGAGAAGGTACTCAATAAATATTTGTGGAGTGAATGACTGTAAAGCACTTAGAAATCTGTTTGACAGCACAATGGCAGCCAGGGCTGTGCACGAAGAGGATGGCATCAGAGTGGGACAGGAAGGCAGCCTTATGGAGTCTGGGACCACACATCGGGGAAAAACAACAAAAGCCAAACCAGTTGCCTTTGGGTGGATTCCAAGTCATGGCGGCCCCATGCATTTCAGAGTAGACCTGCACTCCATAGAGGTTTTCGTGTCTATGAGTTTTTGGAAAGGTCTCTGAGTGGCACAAATGGTTTGGACTTGACTGCTAACCCAAAGGTTGGGGGTTCAAACACACCCAGTGGCACTATGGAGGAAGGGCCTAGTGGTCTGTTTCTGGAAAGATTACATCCAAAATATCCCCTGGAGCAGTTTCACTCTGTGGCACATGGGGTCGCTATGGGTCAGCATCAGCACAGAGGCAGCAGGGTTGGTCTTGACCTGTTAAAAGCAGATCACTACGCCTTTCTTCCCAGGTGTCTCTGGGTCAGTAGCCCAGTGCCTCAATCATTTGCACCATGGGTAAAAACACAGAAAAGGGAAAAGACCAGAATGAAACCTGTGTCATGGGACTCAAATCCAAAGTCTAAATGTCAACTTGTGGTTCTCAATAGATGTAGATACAGAAATAAACTTATAAACTTAGATGTAAATGTTTATGTTTGTGTATATATGAATGTGTGCCCAATGAGTGGGCCTGGCAGAAGGATCGTTCTGACTGTAATGAGCACACTTAATACCCTGATCTTGGTTTCTAAATACCATTTCCCACTAAAATGAATGAGGGATTTTCAAAGAAATGGCTAATGCCAGGGCTGGGGCAGAGACAAATAAGATGAGCTTAGGTTCCAGGGTTGAGCTGGAAAGGAAGGTGGTGTTCAAAGAATGATTGTTGTTGTTGTTATGTGCCATCGAGTCGGACCCGACTCATAGCGACCCCTCCTTGGTTTCTGAGGCAGTATCACTATGGAAGTAGATCGCCCAACTTTCTTTCTGAGGAGTGGCTGGTGGGATTGAAGCTAGCCTTCTGGTTAGCAGTCAAGTGCCTTAGGTGCTACACTACCAGAGCTCCTTCAAAGAATGATGGGACACGTCCAAACAAGGAGGTGGCAAGGGGCATCCACTGACCCAACCTGGGATGACTGGAAAATCAAAATAAATGATGATAGTTAATGGATTACCATCCATTGAACAAAATAGGAAACAGTCCACTGGATGTAACTAAATGAATAATGTGGGAGGAGAGACTATTCTTTATAACAGAATGCCAACTCATAGATGTAGACGGAATGATGAAATTAGAACATCAACATTTGACTACCTTTGTAGTAGTAATTAATTAGGGCAGGAAGCATCACTTGATGCCAAAACCTATGGGTGAAAGTGAGATGAAAAGAATTTTTCAGTCTCAAAGTAGCTCCGCTCCCCATTGCTTATACAAAAAGAGAGAAAATACTTTACAATGGGAACATCATCTTCATCGAGTGAGCAACGCTGATACCATCGGCCATGGTTCCAGTTAACACTGGATGCAGGAAGGAACATAGCACCACTTGGGTAACGTTTCTGTCCCAAACGCTAACGGTAATCATGAGGAAGGAGTGAAGCCCACATCTAAGAACTCCCTGTAACTTTCAAGAACCCACCCCTAAGAGTTTTGGTTTGGGTCATCCTAAAATGTCAAGGTCATGAAGCTCAAGGCAAGGCTGTGCATTGTTCTAGATTGAGAGAGACAAGAGGTAAGACAACCAGGTACAACTTTTGATCCAATAGGATTGGATTTTTTTTTACTATAAAAGGATTATTTTTTTTGGACAGAGGAACAGTATGTCTCAAACGCTTTTAAAGACTTGTGCCCGGATAGGGGGCACCTCCTTTGGGTGCTGCTTTTCATGCTTCTGCCTATGCTTCATTTTTGCCACCTCCAGACGCCAGGCCCTGTCTGGGAAGGGGCATAGAGTAGGCTCTGACTTTGACTGTATTTGGGGTACAACTGAAGCCCACACCTCACCTAGGCTCAAAGAAACTGTCACATTTGGTCGTGGAGCCCTTTGCAGAGACCAAGGGACAACAAAAAGCCACCTCTGTAGGGGTGTCCTGGGGGTCTTGAGGGAAGTGTTTACTATTTAGGGCTGAGGTAAAGACCTGATCCCCAAGATGTAACTCTGGTGAAAAGGCCTCTCTCTGCAAAGGGAACATCTCCTTTGACACGTTTCACCTACTTGCATAGTGTGCTCTGCGGAGTGGTGCTGGAGACCCCTGAGGGCACAGCTGACCCACCCACCCTCACCCACAGTTTAGAATGTTGGGGACACAGAGGGCTGGTGAGCCAGAGATGGTACTAGGGAGGATGATGGGTAACTGAGTGGTTAGGAGGAATGTGCAAGGAATATTTCGATGTCCTCTTGTTTTCTGCTGAGGTAAGGAGTTAACTTTGGGTTAGGTCTGTGAGTGGCTGACATCATTCAAGGTGTGAGATGCTACCCCTTCAGGATGGGCTGGGCCAGCAGGTCTCTTGAGCAGTGGGGTGGTTCTGGGGCCAAGTCCTGGCTCTGTCCCTTTCTCGCCTCCAGACATGGGCAGAGCGCCCCCTTGGGCTGAGGGGCTGCATGTGACAGGCAAGGAGATGCTGAAGCAGCTCTGGGCCTGGAGGGGGCTCCAGGGTCCAGGAGAGAGACAGGGACCAGGACCTCTTTGCTGCCCTGGGCCAGCCTGCCGGAGGCAGGGCTTCACAGGGAGTGCCCTGCCCCGAAGGCAGGGCAAAGGGCTCTGTCCTCTTGCCCCACCCCACTGACAAGAGTCCCAGTCACCAGGCTACCTCCGTCTGGAGTCCTTGAGGGTAAGTGTCCTTCTGAACCCACCCTGTCCCCTCTCCTGTGATTCAGGTGACATGTCTTTTCCTCCTTAGCGGTCCAAACACCTTGCCCACCCTGCTGACCCTTAGGCCAGGTAGGGGCCACACCTGTCACCCCCTCAGCATGACCCGAGGCCCCTGGGGAACAGGTGCAGTACACCTAGAGCCCTTTCCCCTCTTGGCATCTGGGCGGAGCTAGGGAGCGTCAGGAGTGGGGCACTTCATTCAGGCTAGGCCCACATCACTGCTCCCTTCTCTGTCACCCTCAACAGAAGCCCACGTGGCTGAAGCGCTGGGGGACACCCAGACACAGCCCTCGCTGGACCAAGTCCTGCAGGAGCGGGATGAAGCCATTGCCAAGTGAGGGGCAGGGGCTGGGGGCCTGTCCTGTTAGAGGAGCAGAGGGGCAGGTGGGCATTTCCGGAAGAAGAGCCAGAGGCTGCACAGGGCCCAAGGCTCAGGCTGCCCTCCCCACCGCCCGCAGGAAGCGAGCGGTGGAGGCCGAGTTGGACACGTGCCGAGCCAAGCTGCGCGCCGTGGAGGCCGAGCTGCTGGAGGTTGTGGAGGAGAAACTGAGGCTGAGGCAGGAGGTGGAAGCCTGGAAGGTAGAGCAGGAGTGCCGGTCAGGCCTGGGAGGCGTGGGGGGAGGGTCCTGGCTCGGCACCTGAACCTGCTCTCCTGCCCACAGGAGGACATGCAGCAGCTGGTGAGGCAGCGGGTCGAGAGTCAGCTGCAGAGAGAGTCCAGGGGCTCTCTGGGAGCCCGTGCAGACCCTGGCGCCGCCAGGACCCCCAAGGCCCGATCCCCCCTGGGTTGGTGGGGGCGTTGGTGATAACAGAGCTCACTCTGGGGCCTAGGGAGCAGCATCTTTATTCATTAAAGCTTGAGGCCTGACCACCTGTGTACCCTTGTGCCCTCTCAGTGCCCGCCTGAGTTCCTCTGTGCAGAAATGTGGAGAGTATGCGGGGCCCTGACGCCTGAGGGTCCGTGCCATCTCTTGCCAGTGATGCAGGGCTTTTAGGCCAGGAAGCCTCGGATGGCAGCCACAAAGTCCTGTGGGCGGTCGGCGTGGATCCAGTGGCCAGCGTTTGGCACGGTCTGCATCTGGGCCCGAGGGAAGAGCCGCCGAATCTCTGGGTGGTGGCTGGGGCTGTCACCGCAGGCCACCGAGGAGATAGAAGGGGAAAGACAAGGAGAAAAAGAGAAGTGGAGGCAGAGCAGGGAGAGGGGTGGTGGGGAGAGATGGGGGAGCCGCATGAGCCAGCAGACTCCCATCTATGCCCAAGCCTCCCCCCTGCAGGCAGGATACCAGGTAGGAGGTGGGGTGAGTAAAGCATGCCCCTCCCCCCACCAGCATGGCTTACGGCACGTATTGGGAATTGCCACCAAGGAGGAAGAGGGTTGGCCCGGGGTAAGAGTCCTGTCGAGGTGGGAAGGCCAAGATCTCCTCCACATGCTGAGCCATGGCATCCAAGTTCACCCTCCATGTGAAGCACCCATCCACCTCCACCAGGTTGGTGAGCAGAAACTGCCGCACAGCTAAGTCCTGTGGGGGTCCAGCAGTTGGTGGCGCTGGAGGGGGTGTCCCTGTGATGCCTGGGGTCATGACTCTTTCCTTGACAGGTCCCAGCCCTCTGTACCACCTGGGGGTGTTGGGTGCATCACCTGGACAACAGAGCTGAGCTGCTCATCGGCCAGTTTGCGGGCACGGGAGCGGGGCACTTCATCTGGGATGTCTATGGCCCTCATGGCGGCCACATAGGACGGGAAGTCTGAGACAGACGTGGTCTCCACTGGGCTGATGTCCACAGCAATCAGGCGTTCCACCAAGTCCGGCTGTGGGAGGGAACCAGACTGGGGACCAGCCTCAGAGTAGGCACAGAGGGTCTCAGACAGTTTCTGAACTTCACCTTGGCCATCCACGGCTCACGGGAGTCTGCCTGCCTGCTAGGCACTCAGGAACTATGCAGGGTGGGAGGAGATCCCAGACAGGGCAGCTCACCCTCTGTAGTGCCAGCAGCATGGCTGTCTTGCCTCCCATGCTGTGGCCAATGAGGACGCAGGGTACCAGGTCCAGCTGGGGCAGGAGGTCCTGCAGGTCCTGGCTCATGGCCTCATAGCTCATATCTGGGCTGTGGGGGCTGTCCCCATGGTTCCGCGCATCCACTGTTAGCACCTGGAGAGCAGGGTAAGAGGGGTGCACAGCTGGCATCTATCTTTGGGGCCTAGATGTCAAAGGCATTTTAAGCCACAGGGTGTGGAGCCTGGGGACAGAGAGTGACCAGGGGGAAGGGATGGTGAGACAGGGCCCAGTTTCTGGGCACGGGAGGTCCAGGTGAGAAACCTGGGGTTACTCTGTTACAGAAAAGAAAGCTCAAGAGGTGTGACAGCCTCTCTGAAGGTCTGGCCTGGCTGTCCGAAGAGGTCAGGAGTTCCCTGTCCTCGCTGGTGAACAAGCAGGGACCGCTCCCTTTGTGGAGACGGTATTGGCATTTAAGCACTGCACTCCAGAGCCTAGCTCGGTGTGGAGCCAGAGACGTAGATCTGTAACGTGACTGTTGAACGAAGGTCTGGACAGATGGAAGGATGAAGGAATGAATGTGGATAGGCAACTTGTTTCATTTCTACTCCAAGGTTACGCTGCCTGCTTGGAACTCTGCCACTCTTTGGCGGCCCCCAGGAGTGAAGGCGGAAAGGCTGGCTCCACCCCTCCAGGCCCCGCCCCCTTCTGGGTCCCGCCCCGCCCGATGCTCACCTTACGGCCTGTCTGCTGGGCCAGGGCTTTAGCGATAGAGTTAAAGTTGTTTTTGCAGCCGAAAAGCCCATGCAGAAAGACGAGGGCCGGGCGGTGCGCCTCCCCATCCAGAAGCGTGTAGGAAAGCGGCAGCGGCCTGGAGGGAAGGGGCAGGGATGGAAGGAGGAGGGTCTGAGTCGAGCACGGAAGGAGTGTAGGGTACAGCCTGTGATGGGGCGGGGCCCAAAGAAGGAGGCAGGCGGGAGAGGGAGGAGCAGAAAACGGCCTCCCACTGGGCGCCCTTGACTGACCTCGGTTCTGCTCTGCCACCGCCACCGCCGCTGCTGGTTGCTGCAGGCACCCTTGAGAAATTGAGACCGGAGGGGCCGCGTCCCCCATGGAGGAGCCTCCAGGCCAGTGCCCAGCGGAGCATAGCCGGGTGCCACGTTACCCGGCGCGCACCTCGCGCTACACGTCCCGCCCAACGCCCAGCCTGCCTCTGCGCTGAGCCCCGCCCAATTCCGCCCGGAGCTCCGCCCACAGCCCCGGCTTCTGTCTATCCCCGCCCCCCGCTTAATTCCCGCCTTCGGCCACGTTTTTTTACGTAATCCTAGGGAGCCGTCTTTCCCTCAGAGCTTCTCTTGTAGTACCATTACGTAATCCCCGCTGGTATTAGGCTGGCACCCGCGACCCGAGTCCGCTCAAAGTTCTGGCCCCGCCCACCTCGGAGCTCCGCCTAGCCCCTGGCAGCGCAGAATGTGGGCCTGAGTCTGGGCGGGCTGCCTGGGAAACTGGTTCCCAATGTTTTGACTTCTCAGTTCTGGGCGGCCGCGGGGCAGGTCCTTGGCAAGCGGAGGAAGCGCTGCCTTGGCCCGCGCCTGGCCCCGCACCTGTCTTGCTCCTTTGCCCCCACGCGCCTCCTTGGAAGGGTTCCATACTTTCTGTGCCGCAGGCGCGGGCGAGAGGCGCCAGAGTGGCTCTCGTCTTCCGGGCGCCAGTACGGAGGCGCCGTGCTCTGCAGCCGAAAGCCCCTCTTTCCCATCCTGAAGCTGTTGCCTGTAGAGAGAACTAAGAGTCCAGATACTATATTCCAAATTCCCCTCTACAGATAGGGAAACTAAGGTGCAGAGAGGGCCGGGTGACTTGCCCAAGAAGCAGAACTAGAGTCACACAGCTCTGGTCTGGGGTGGTCTCATGTTCCTGATGCAACTCACGGTAGGAGGCCAGGCTGAAACCTGGGCCAGAGGTTTGTAGGGGGGAGCGCCGGCTGGACTGAATTGAGCTCAGCCTGCCGCCACGCACCATTTACCAGCCGAGAAATCCCCACCCCCAAAACTCAGCACATTCTGCCCCGGAAATCGTCTTCCCTGTATCTTCAACCGCTGCCATCTCTCTGGTCTGGGGTAGTGGTGGCCGTGGTGGCATTGTCTCATGTCTTAGCTGGCTTCCCTGCAGGGCATCCCTTCCTACAGCCGGCTTAATCGTAGTATCTCTACTCAAAAACCTTCAGGGACTCCGCATCCCTAAAGTTGAGAGCTGAAACGTCATCGTAGTATTCCAAGCCCCGCCCCCAATCTGATCCTACCTTTACACCCATATTTCCCGTTCTCTGACTGCCCAGCTGGGCTCCCCAGGTATGGACCACAAAGGCACACTTTCTTTGCATCTTTCCCCCCACCACTCCCCCTGCTGGGATGCTGTGCTGTCTTCCAGATACCCAGCTGTCCCGGTCTTGTAAGGTCCAGTTTCACTGCCGTCTCCTCCTCAAGCCTTCCCAGATTCCTCCACTTGACACCAATCTCTTCCACTCCACGTTCTCAAAGCGTCTCTCGGAGTCTTATGTAGTATTACAGAATTGGCCTTGACTGTGTCCACCGCAGGCTGGGGGCCTGAACTTGGAGGTTTTACCCATCTGGTACAGATGAGTCATTTTACTGAATAATCACAGAGAAGGTTAGGGCATTAGCTGAGGCTTTGGTGAAGTTCAGCTGGGGACCAAGTGTTCCCTCCAGGAGGTGATGCCTGGGCCAACTAGGGTTACATTTGCTCCTCTCACACCTCCTTTGGGTTGGCCTGATAGAGTTGAGGACCAGCAGGATATGTCCGAACTTCAAAGCTCCATCTCATTGCCTAAGAAAATGGCCTGCACCTTGAGTCACCTGGGGACTTGACAGGTTTTGTTCTAATTTGAGGAGGGCTTTGAGATCACTAGGAGCTCTGGTGGCATAGTGCCTAAGGCATTTGACTGCCTACCAGAAGGTTGGCGGTTCAAACCCACCAAAAGCTCCTCGGAAGGAAAATTGGGCAATCTACTTCTGTAGAGATACTGCCTTGGAAACCCAAGGAGGGGTCACTATGAGTCGAATCGACTCTACAGCAATGAGTTTTTGAGTTTGAGGTCACTAGGGACTGTAAATACACCAGGTGGTGTGATCACTGGTTGCCAGGATAGTCATTAGGGGAGTCATGAGAACATCTGAGCCCTGCATGCAGGCTGGTCCAGGATGTGGGAGGGGTTCTTGGATGAGACAACCAAGCAGGTGTATTTCTAGCATTGGCAGACGAAGGTGAAGGGAGTTGGCACAGTCGTAGGGACTCAGACAGGTAGAATTTCTTTTCCTTTTTAATTTTTATTGTGATTTGGGTGAAAGTTTATCGAGCAAATTCATTTTCCACACAGCAGCTCATACCCTTTGTCTCATGACATTGACTGCAATTTCCCACAATGCAACAGCTCCCCTCCCACTTCCTCCCCATAGTTACCCTGTGTCCTTCCCTCCATGCACTTCTGCCCCCTCCCAGCTGTCTCCCTGTGCATACACAGCCCTTCTACTCTATGATGAGATCTATGATGGATCTCTCCAAGGAGTGTATCTACCTAATGTAAATGTTCAGCTCCTATGCCTGTCTTTTGTTTGCCTAGAAGCCACAGGAGTGGGTTCAATTCCAGACCAGTAGGGCAGCTAGGCACTCAGGGGTTCCACCAGGCTCTATCAGACCTGAAAACCTGGTCCCTTTTCAGACAGGTAGTATTTCAAAGGTGGTGCAAAGAGTTCCCCCTCCCCTCATGTTTTGCTGGGTAACCAAGCCTGGCCCACCACCCTTGGCCATCGGCTGAGGAGCCAGGAGCCCTGGGTCTGGGGGCAGAAGCAGCCCAGAGACATTTGGACCCCAGCCATGTCATGTGGCCAGGGAGGGCCCGGCAAGCAGAAAAACCAGTCTGCTTGGGGTTTCTACTTGAGCACTCCAGAGGAGGGTGGCAGGGGAGGGGTTGCTACCTGGGAAGGCCTAGTGATGGTAGTTTGGGGAGGGCCACCTAGGGGCTGCCCACTCCTCCCTTAGCTTGTTAGGAATGGGCTAGTGTACTTGTTAGCTGTTGAGGGGCTCCCTCTTGGGGGGGTCAAACCATTGGACGGAGGCCTGTGGATCCCCTGACTTGCTGAGGTGGGGGTGGGAGTAGTCCTGGAGTGCAGAATAAGGGATGGCCCCACCTCCATGAGGAGGTCACCTACCCTCCTGTATCATTTTCCCGGCAGCCACCACCTTCCTGTGAAGCAGGACCTGTCACCCTGATTTTACTGGTGAGGAAATCAGGATATGAATTAAGCTGCTCCAAATCCCTCAGCCCCTGCAGGGCCCAGACTGGATTCCTTCACAGCAGGGACACTCCTGGTGCAGAGCCCCTGTTTGTCATCACAGCCCTTCAGGCCGGGGACAGAGGGCCCAGGGGGCCTGTGGCAGCAAGGACACCACGCCCTGGTGGCGGCAGGCGGCATTGAATGGGTTAAGGCAGGGAGGCAGCGGGTGTCCCATAACTGCACCTGGCCCAGTATCGGTCACGTGGCCTGGGGTTTCACCTGCCCCGCTGAGCAGGGACAATCAGGCTGCTTGTTCCAAGGCCCTGAGGCTGGTCGCCATGGTGACAGGAGTGTGCCTGGGAAGGTCACGGGGCAAATTCCTGTCGCTGGGAGGGTGGGATGGGGTGTCAGCAGTGCAGGGGGCCTGGTGGAGCGCCCCGGAAGATCCCTCAAGGTTTCCCGTGAGGCTGTCCCCAGGAGGCCCTGCGTGACTCCCCGCTTGGCCTCCTCCCATTCTGCCCTGCTTCTCTAGGTTTTGAACCTGAGTTTATTAAGCGGCTTCCATTGCCAAGACTTTAATATACGTTACCCACTTAATCCGCGCAGCAACCTTTCCCACATGGGAATGGTAATCCCCTGGGCCAGTCAGCCACATACCCCTCCCCCCACGACTCACGCAGGTCCTTGAGAACGTTTGCTCCTTCCTCCCTTCATCCAACAATCATTCAACAATCAACAGACACTGTTGAGCCTATCATATGGGCCAGGCACCTTTCTGGACACAGCTGTGAATAAAGCAACAAGTAAATTAACTAACCACATCACAATGGGTCATGTGGAGTATTTACTGCCTTCAGAGCTGGTTAGGGGAGCCCCGGGGACCATCAATAGGAGGCAAGGACTGCACATGATCAGCCCACGTCTCTGGGGGACCTCTCTGCCACCCCCCCAACTGGCACCTCCTCCCCTCCAAGCCTTCCTCTACCCACAGATCCAGCCCTAGTCTCATCCACTTCTCTGCTCCATGTGCTGCAGTAGCCAGGATTGCCAGCTGTGTTCTGCCTCCAGACCCAATTGCTTGGCACTGTGCCCAGTGATTCCTAAAGTGGGCAGGTGAAGACCCCTTCCCTTTGGCAGTGGCTGGAAGGATGGTGGCAGAATTCTCCTCTCCCCTTTAGAAGCCCCAGTCTGGTCTCCTCTGCCTGACTTTGGAGCCTTTGCTTATTGAAGGCCTACTGTTTGCCTGCCACCACTTGTCTTGTCAGTTTGTCCTACTGTGGTGGCTTGCATATTGCTTTGAGGCTGGAAGCCATGCCACTGATATCTCAAATACCAGCAGGGTCACCCGTGGTGGACAGGTTTCAGCAGAACTTACAGACTAAGACAGACTGGGAAGAAGGACAAGGCCATCCACTTCTCAAAGAATTGGCCAGTGAAAACCTTATGAATAGCAGTGAAACACTGGCTGACGTATTACTGGAAAACTTTATGAACAGCAGTGAAACACTGTCTGATGTTGTCAAGGGCTCAGTTCCCGGAGAAGGATATTGTGTTAGATTGGGTTCTCTAGAGAAACAAAACCAGTAAAGCTTATATAGAGAGAGAATGGGATATTTATCTTAGAAAAATGGCTCACACACTTATAGAAGCTGGCAAGTCCAAAGTTCTTGGATCAAACGTCAAGCTGGAGCCTTTTCCCGACTCACGCAGCTACAGGGGCTGAAGAGCTCAAGGTTGGCAGGCAGTAGACTGGCTGTTGACTCCAACAAATGACGAATCCAAGATCTCCAGGCCGAATGGTGGATTGTTCACTCATGGATGGTTGTAGACAGCACAACTGAATCCCGATCCACAG